ACTGCTGTATGTATACATTCTAACTTAGACCTCCTGCTCTGTTCCACTGGTCTACTTATCTATTTGTGTATCACACACCATTGTCTAAATCACAGAGGCTTTCTAGCAGGTTAAGTTGTCTGGTAATTCTGGCTCCCCTAAAACAGTTGCCTTTTGTAGTGCTTTCCTGCATATTTTGCATCTTTGTTTTTCCACATAAACTTCATTATCGAATTGTATGTTTGTATCAAATTTCATGTACCATACATAGCTTGTTGTTTTTTTACTTTCTTGAATTGGGTTGAATTTATATATTAACTTAAGGAGATTGACACTATAATGTTGAGTCACATCCAAAAACAGGGTCATCTTTCCATTTACTCATGTCTTTATTTCTTTCTGGAATATTTACATTTTTTTAATATTTCACACAGCTTTTGAGAGAATGTGCCTATGCGTGTTGGTATGTGTGCGGTATATAAACATGTATGTAGGTGAATTTAGAGGCCAGGGGTCAACACCAGTCTTCTATTGCTCTCCACATTGAGCTTTTTGTTGTTGTTATTGCTGTTTTTGTTTTGTTGTGTTTTGCGACAGAGTTTCTCTGTGTTGTCCTGGCTGTCCTTGAACTCACTCTGTAGACCAGGCTGGCCTCAAACTCACAAAGATCCACCTGCCTCTGCCTCCTGAGTACTGGGATTAAAGATGTGTACCACCACCACAGTCCGGCTTCCACAGTACTTTTTGAGACAAGATCTCTCACTGAACCTGGAGCTCACCGACCAGGCAAGACTGCCTGGCCAAAAAGCCCCAGTGATTCTTCTGTCTCTATCCACGTGTGAATAAAGTGGTTTTTTACATTAATTTTATATTTTGCTAACATATGGAATTCTTTTATTATCTGAATTAGTCTTATCTTTTATTCCCTGGGAGATTTCCAGGCATGTTACATGAGAGCATGTATAAAGAGACTTAATTGCACTGGACAGAATCTCTAGCATAAGATGAATAGTTTCAAATATGGACATCTTTATCTCCTTCCTCATACTTTAAAAGTGCTAAAAGTAGGTTTTTTTTTTCTTCAAATTAAATATTGGCAGGCTGGGGATACAGTTATGCTGATAGAATGCTTCTCCAGAATTCCCAGGCCCCTGGACAACTTCCCAGTACCATATAAAACCTGGTCTGGCACCTGTGACGCAGGCAGAAGATGCAGGCAACAGGACCAGAGGTTCAGTATTTCTTATCTAATAGCTGGTGCATTTACATTTTATATCGCTAATGAAGTCAACTTTAACTACTGTCTTTCCTAAAACTTTAGGTAGCTAGAATTCTAAAAAGCCTTTTGTTTTGATTTGTTTCAATGATAATTTCTGCCTTAACACTTATTTTGTAGATTTATACTTTATTTTTTCTTGATCAAATTTGCCAACTGACTTATCTACTTTAAAAAAGCAGACTATAGTTTATTATATTGTTTTACAATTCTCATTCTCATTAATTTCTGATTTACATTAAGATTTTATACTTTGGGGTTCTTTCTTTCTTTCTTTCTTTCTTTCTTTCTTTCTTTCTTTCTTTCTTTCTTGTTGTTGTTGTTTGAGACAGGGTTTCTCTGTGTAATTTTGGTGCCTGTCCTGGAGCTTGCTCTGTAGACCAGGCTGGCTTTGAACTCACAGAGATCTGCCTGGTTCTGCCTCCCAAGTGCTGGGACTAAAGGTGTGCACCACCACTGCCCAGCTACTTTGGGGTTTTTATGGCTTTCTTAGTTGTTTTGTAAATTTTCTGAGCTTAGAATTATATTTCTATTCTTTCACTCTTATTGGTAGAAGTGTTTGACTAGGAAATTTGTCTGTTAGCTGCTTTAAATATACCTTCTGTGTTCCAATACATATTATTTCTGTAAAATTTTGTATCAATCCTTAAAATTCAAAATTTGTTTTAAAAGTTTCAAAACTTAAAAAAAAAAAAAAGAACCTGATTTTTGTTGTTGTTAACTAATGAATTACAGTTCTATAACACTTTGGTAAGTGTGGATGTTATTCTACTTGATGGAAGTCACTGAGTTTTGACAATATAATCTAGATTATATTGTTTCTGATTAATGTTTCTGATGCAGCATGTTCTATATGACCTTACTTATATGCATACCTATCTATGAAGTACATTAATTAGATCTTCTATCTCTTTTATTATGTTTTGCACCATTAGGAAATGACTCCTCAATGAGTTGCAGAACACATCTCTTAGAATAGATTAAATTTTTTAAAAAAATACAATGACAGTAAAAGTTGACAAGGAGAGAGAAAAACTGTAAAAGGTATTGTTGTTATGAATCCTATATATTAATTTCTGTGGTGCTAGGGATCAAATCCAGGATGATGTACATGCTAGGTCAGTGCTCTACCACAGTGCTGCAACCCCAGCTTGATTTTCTTTATTTACTAAAATTTGTTTCTTTTTGATTGACATGTAAAATTATACATATTAATGAGATGCCATGTAATGCTTTAATGCATGCACACATCATTAAATGTTCAAATCAAATTAAAGAAACCTATCTCCACACACATTTCTTGTTTCTTTATGGGTGAAAATATTTCAAGTACTTAATTCTAGCTTTGTTACAGTATGGACCTATAAGGATCTGTAGTCATCCTCCTGTGCAAGAGAACAGCACATATAATAACTGTTCTTACAGATAATCTAAAATACACCGATAAAGTTGTAATATTCCAAATAAATTGTTGTATTTATTTTATTTATTTTGCAGTGTTGGGGATCAACCCAGAGTCTCTGATTTTATCTACTTTTTTGATCAGTATCATTGTCTAGGCTGGCCTCAACTTTATAATATTCTACATCAGCTTCCCAAATATGGTTTCAAGCTATGATTTCAAGTATTTGATACTCCACCTGGCTTATTTATTGATGTATGTATTTTGAGGTGCTAGAGATCAAACACAAAGCCTTGCATAGAGTAGGCAAGCCCTTTACCAGTGTGCCATACCCCAGCCCATGGAAGGACTTCAAAGTAGTATAGCCACAATGGACAAGAGTTTGGTGATTTCTTATAAAACTATGTGTGTACTTGGAATACAACCCAGAAACTGCACCCTAGAAATGTGAGTCACAGAAATGAACATTTATGTCCACACAAAAGTCTATACTCTTAAAAACCTCAACTGGGAAATAACTCAAAATGTTCTTCAATAAGTGAATAATTAAGCAAACAACAGTAGATCCATATAATGGAACACTATTTGATACTAAGAGAAGTAACTATTGATGTATGCAATGGTCACAAAAAAAGGAAGCTAGTTTTTCTCAGCAATGATAGAAAAGGTTTCAAACTATATTTGTCTGACTATGAGTCCAACAGGATTTTAATTATCTCAAAGGCTCAGAGGCTCAGAAATTACACAGGTAAGCTTCAGAAGTTCGTAGAATGACTGAGAACAATGTTTTCTTTTTTTCTTTTGTCTATCTACATTTTTCTGTAGACATGGACCATAGCATCTCAGAGATAACTCATTAAATGCTAAGAACCACCACTTTGTAGACTCCCTAAGAAGAAATGAAACACAAACCACAATACTTTATGCGGCTAACAACATACAAGTTCATCCTCATCTTTTTTTTTTCTCTCTCTCTTCTAGGCACACAGCTGTCATCTGAGGCTAGAGCCCCCTGCTTACTCCTACCATAATCATCTTTTAAAGTTCTAGTTTCAATTCCTTTTTCAAGGCTGGGGGTAGAGCACAGGCTTAGCATCGGCTGGGGCCCTACGCTCAATCCTAGTAATGCAAAAAATAAAAAATAAAAATAAATGAGGTCCAATTTCATCTTACAAATGAAAATGTTTAGAAAACTAAAAACAGAGCCGGGCGGTGGTGGCGCACACCTTTAATCCCAGCACTCGGGAGGCAGAGGCAGGCGGATCTCTGTGAGTTCGAGGCCAGCCTGGGCTACCAAGTGAGTCCCAGGAAAGGCGCAAAGCTACACAGAGAAACCCTGTCTCGAAAAACCAAAAAAAAAAAGAAAACTAAAAACAATTTTTACGCACATCTTCCCTAATATATCTGTTTGCAGACTTATAGTAGATTATAAGGTAGCACTCCAATAAACCCACTGTGGGAGGACCCCTGTACCTAAGTCCCACATTCAGGGTGCCATCTGTGGGAGGCCAGCTCCCACCTTTTAAAAGGTTCCTATGAGGAGGAGAGAGTGATAAGAAATATTAGGTAGAAAGAGAGACCTAGCTGACAAGAAGAAAGACAGAAACACAGGATAGCTTCGGGAGGGTCTGGGTCAATACCCACCAGCCTTTTCCGTTTATTCAAAAGGACTTTTTATAACAATGTCAAGGGGAAGGGCAAAAGACCTCCCCCTTGCTAGATCAAAGCACACCACATAGCCAAGTGTGTAGACCCTTCCAAACACCTGGTAACCATGCCCATGTTCAGATCATCCCCTTATGCAGCCCTGCTGGGTAAAGGAAGCTCAGATTCTTGGACCCTGAGTAATTTGGGCCTCCACACCCCAACATATATCAAAGATATATCAAAAAATATATTAGATATACCTAACCTACCATCTACCTACTATTCTTAGTATTGAATAGTATTCCGTTATATGGATCTACTGTTGTTTGCTTTATTATTCACTTGTTGAAGAGTATTTGAGTTATTTCCCAATTGAGGTTTTTAAGAGTACAGAATTTTGTGTGAACATAAATGTTATTTCTGTGACTCAGATTTCTAGGGTGCAGTTTCTGGGTTGTATTCCAAGTGCACACATAGTTTTATAAGAAATCACCAAACATAGCCCAATATGAAGTCTCGGCAGTTCACCTTATAATCAGATGGCTGACTGTGAGCCAAGGCTCCGCCACTGGCAGCATCACTAGTCCAGAAAAGATCAAAATCCAGAGTATGTTCATACTGGGTTTGCACCATCCTAAAGCTAAAAGGTCATGAATTGAAACATCCTAAATTCAGGACATTCAAAGTATGTCTTACATTCTTCAGGCTGGACATGTGAATAACTTCCAAGATTTAATAACTGACTGGTAAATGTTGATTGGAGTACTGTCTCACCAACCCATTGGTCCTCATAAACAGTAACATCTAAAAACAGAACAAAACAAAATCTGGTCATGTCATGAACTCCTTTAGACTGTGGTTAACTTATTAAACATACAGTAGTAACTAATCATAGCAAAACATTATGCATACATCTCACACACCAGGCAACTAGAGTTCTGATAGATTGAAACCTACCCAAACGCACAAAAATGATAGAACAGCTCATTTAAACTCTGAACCTACACCCTTGCCTATGAGGCCTGAGCAAGCTGGGAGTCACCCAGTCTAAGGGAGAGGAGGAAGAGGCATTCACATTGCCTTCAGCTGAGCTCACCTTTCCCTTCCCAATCCCCACTACTTTCTCCCAGGATGGAGCAGTAGGAATGATTTCATACCAAAATGGCAGATCACCAGCATTAGTGAAATACTGAAACATTCCCTCTTCTACCCAGAGGAAACCAAGTCCCAACACCATTAAAACCATGGATATGAAGAACTTCTTGGGCGGAACTACAACACATGAACATAGTCAAGCCTAGATAATATGGAATATATGAACACTACTGAGAATTTGTGCCAGCAAAAGTTATACACATGGCAACCAAAGAAAATACTACACGCTTCCAATGGGCTGCCATCAGTAACAGAATTGGTTTATTCTGTTTCAAAAGTGCCACTGGAGGGTGAACTTGGAGGAGACCTGAATTCAATACTAGTGCACTGGACCACAAGACAAGGCCATTTATCTATGGCTGTACCAAAATGAAATACAGTATAGATTCTCCACTGACAGATTGAGAATCTACAGTAGATGTGTTCATTGGGCTGCTCAGTTTGGGCATATGTCACTGTGGCCTATCTCAGCAAAAATACCAAATATAAATATGATGGGTCAGACTGAAGTAGCCCCCTTGACATAGGGAGCTTACGGAATATACATTACACATTCAACTAGACTGTTTTTAATGTTTTAGTCATTGGTGACAAGTACTACAGAGACACTGAACTGCACTGAGTAGTACGACCAAACATCACAGTCAGGAGTCTCCTGGAAGCTAGAGCTAATAACAATGCTCAGAATATCAAGAGTGGATCAGCATTTGATTTGGCAAAGAAGGAAAAGCACATGGGTGATTGATCATTCACAAAAGGCAAGGCAAGTAAAAGAATAAACTATCTTTCCTTAGAAAGCTCAAAGTTACTAAGGAATTTTGTCAGAAAATAATGCTAGAAATTCCTTTCCTAGTTATTTGGCTGGTTGGGCTTACAGCAGGCCTAAATATTGATTCCTGTCTCATTAAAGAGCTATTGTATGGTGGGTTTGGGTTACAACTTTTTTCAGTCCTTTTTTTATCTTTCAGTGCATTGTCTCTTGGAATATATTTGGCACCCAATTTCTAAATGTAACGTTGTTCTGTTTAGGAAATGATACTAACTTTTATTCATCTTCTATTCCTTGCCAATAGTGGTATACTATTCTACAATTCTGGAAAATTTTGAAAATCAGATCCAGGGATTTTTTTGTTTTGTTTTGTTTTGTTTTTTGAGACAGGGTTTCTCTGTGTAGTTTTGGTGCCTGTCCTGAATCTCGCTCTGTAGACCAGGCTGGCCTCGAACTCACAGAGATCCACTTGGCTCTGCCTCCCAAGTGCTGGGATTAAAGGCGTGCACCACTGCCGCCCAGCATAGATCCAGGGATTTTTAAAGCTAAAGAAGAAAAAAAGAAAAAGACAATAGCTGAATTACAGAGACAAAACGTCTGAATTCCAGCATATTCTGCAGTACCTGTCTGATTCAGAAACCAATGAATTATAAACACTGTGGTGCATCCAACTGCTGAAAGTGAAATGTATTCATCACTGCTTGTGAGTGGTAAGTAACTGTGTAGGTATAGGCAGCCACAGATACTTTATTCCTGCTTGGAATGATCTGCTAGATGACTTAGAGTTGTATTTCTCACTGAGGATTTGTCTTACATTTGCTTCCTATTGCTGTGATGAAGACAATGGCCAAAAGCAAGCTATGGAAGAAAGAGTTTATTTAATCTTTCAGCTTACAGTTTTTCATTGAGGGAAGCCAGAGCAGAAACTTGGTGAGGAAACCTGGGGGCAGGAACTGGAGCAAAGACCAGGAGGAATACTGCTTACTGGCTTGCTCTCCACAGCTTGTTCAGCCTGCTTTCTTATACAATCCAGTACCACCTGCTCAGGAATGCCACTACCCACAATGGGCTGGGCCCTTCCACACCAATTCTTAATCAAGAAAATGCCCCACAGGCTTACCTACAGTCCAATCAGATGGGGGCATTTCCTAAACAGAAGTTTACTATTCTCTGATGCCTCTAGTTTGTATTAAGTTGATAAAAATACTAACTAACACATGACTTCACTGTGAAACCAGTTACATCACAGATGAATTTTAGACATATAATATTCAAACTATTCAAACTACCACATGTTCACCTTGGAATATACACACATACATACATACATACATATATATTTGAGACAGGGTCTCACTATGTAGCTCTGGCTGTCCTGGAATTCACAATGTAGACCAGGCTGGCATTGTCTCAGAGATCTGCCTGACTTTACCTCCTGAGTGCTGGGATCAAAGGCATTCACTACTATGACCAGCTGTTTTAGATATTTCCAAACAGCTTTTCATTTCACGTTGGTGGCTGCATTACTCATATGTCAGATACACCAAATATCATGTTCAGGTATTACTACAAATAAAAAAATGATGGGCTAGGGATGTCAGTTAACGGAAGAGTGTTTACCTAGCATGGTGTGGCCCTAAGTTCTTAGGGCAAAAATGAAACAAAATGGTTTCACCAGGCATGGTAGCATGCCTGTAATCCAGCACTCAGGAAGCAGAAGCAGGACAACTGTCTGGGCAACAGAGTTAAGATCTGTCTGAAAAAACAAAAAGGGGAGCTGGGCACTGTGGCGCATGCCTTTAATCCCAGCACTCGGGAAGCAGAGGTAGGTGGATCTCTGAGTTCCAGGCCAGTCTAGTCTACAGAGCGAGTTCTGGGACAGCCAGGGCTACACAGTGAAACTCTGCTTGGAAAAAAACAAAAACAAAAAACAAACAAACAAAAAGATACATTTTAAAAGGCATTCATAAAAATAATATTCCTTAACTGTCCTTTAATAGAAAAACTGTTCAATTCCAGCACACACTTGATGTTACCTATTTGTAAACAACTGTATGGCTGTTAGGAAAAAACCAGGTAGCAGGGCCGTCTCTACTTACCTAGAAAAGGTCTATGAGAAGATCACACAGTGAATGACCTTGACATAAGATGGCCTTGATTAAAAGTGACCACAGCACAGGTCCAGTCAGTCACCTCTTTACTGTTGGGGAAACCTAACTTCTTCAATACTCCAAAAATTCCATTGGGCAAGTAGTCAGGAAGAGCAAGAACACAAAGGTATCCTCAGCTGAGTATAATAGCAAATTCAAAGCCAGCCTGGGCTACATGAGACAGCTATCAACATCTGTGTCTCTTCCTTCAGTAAGAGTTTAATGTACACACCACTACTGAAGTGAAGTGGCAGAAACATTGTCCTTTCATAATAATATCGCTAATAAAGTAAAGGTGTTAATGAGACATATATAAATACAGCCATTAAACAGCAAAGAGAAGCCTGGCGGTGGTGGTGCATGCCTTTAAGCCCAGCACTCTGGAGGCAGAGACAGACGGGGCGGGACAGCCAGTACTACACAGAGAAACCCTGTCAAGAGACAAACAAACGAGACAGCAAAAGGGGCCCCATGATAGGACTTCAACTGTCACGTGATGGATGATTATGAGAAACAACCAGCGGAGGCTTCCTTGAGGAGAAAATGAATGGGGAGGCAGCCGAGAACAGAGAACTAAAGCCCAGGGAAGCCGTAAGGAGGTCATACACGCCTCAGAGGGCCAGTCACACCCAGGGAAGGCAAAGGGCAGAGAGAGAGAGCCCTGGGAGACAAGACCCAGAGGACACAGCTTTACAGGGCGAGCTACCACTATACTTGATGACCTTACCTGTAAGTAAAATTATATCCCCAAGAAACACTGTAAGTGCCCAAAATGCTGCAGTCCTCCACAGAACAACTCTCTTCCTCACTTCTGATTGATCAATTACTACAACTGTTGCTAAGGGCACTTTAGAACCAGAATTTGGTCCAGATTTTACGTTTATTTCCTTCACATGACACGGGGTTAGCACCATGACTAAGCAGTTATACTTCCGACTTTTAGAGTCACAGTTTTTTATTAATGATATTTTTTTAATGGCCTTAAATTCGGACATGATCCTCTGGGGCACTGTTTTCGCTGACTCTCTTGTAGTAGAGTCCATCCTTGGCTTCTTGGATACTTGATGGACTTCCGAAAGAGCTTTAGAATGATGGAAATCTTTAGAGGACCGGCTTCTTTTAGCAGCACTTTGGTGGAAGGTACTTAGTTGGGAACACAGGATTCCTGAGCCACACAACTCAATGCATACCTCATTTGATGGCGGGTTTTCTTCACTACTGAAAAGATCTTGTGAACTTATATTATTTTCAAGACTTTTTCCAGGGTTTCTGTTAACGTGACTGCTTTCTGATTCAGGACTAAAAAGTTCCAGGGAATACGCCTGGCTCTGCTCACTCTCAGATTCGCTTTCAGAATTGTCCATGGGTTTAGCAAGATTATCTTCAGCTAGTCTTCCTTCTGGACTTCCTGTGGGTTCCATCCCCATGTTTATAGTCCCTTTATTTGTACAGTCTTGCCCTTTATTGTTCCCTTGAGCTAGAAAAGCACACTGGCTGGAGGTCATTATACTGAGAAACTCAGTGTCAGTAGACACTTTCTGGTCTGAGGCCTTCCCGACCGCTCCCTCAGACTCTGGCTCAGGCTTTGTTCTCACAGCCTCTGGCCCTATAGTAATCTGTTCAGTACAACAGTCCAAATCCAATTCAGCTGTACATTTATGATCTAACGGAAGCAGATCTGCTTGAAAGTTCTGAACACAGGGATTTGACTGGTTTTTAGACTGATCATCTCTAAGTTTCATATTTTCACACTGAAACCTCTGATATTTTTCTTCTTCAGGTAAATGCTGAACTCTGTCCTTAAATTCACATATTTGCACATTAGTCATATCATTCTGGCCTGCGGGATTAATCTTCTGGGACTTTATACTCTGTGTTTCAGAAGCAGAATAGATGAAACCATTTTCCACCTGCGCAGACCTAGTCACATAAGTTGTTGAAAGGTGACCACTAAGAACATCTGGAGGGCCAGCAGTTTCTGGGATTTGGTAGTCTTTCAGATTTTTAAGCTCCTGGTTTTCAGCCTTCAGATATAAAGAATGTTGTTTGTACAAAAGGTGGATTTGTTCCCAGGCGTTGGCAGTGGACATTAAGGAAGCTGTTCCCTGTGATATCGTCATTTTCAGTGGAGCAACTGGAGCTCCCCAAAACATGTGAACTTGAGATCCTCGGCTCATAATTTCTGATAAAGATAAAAATTTCAAAATTAATTTATTAGTATACTCTCTTATCTGATGAAAAGAAACTATTAATCAAAAACATGCAGTTCAGTTTGATATGCTACTTAATTATAAAATTAATAAATAATAAATTATAAGAAAATCAGCCATTTGGTGGTAGTGCATGCCCTTCATTCCAGCACTTGGGAAGCAGAGGCAGGCAGATCTCTGTGAGTTCAAGGCCAGCCTGGTCTACAAAGTTGTCCTCTGACCTCTACACACACACCATGGCACACCGAGACCTACATACCACACACACACACACACACACACACACACACACACACACACACACACACATAATAATAATAACAATAAAATTAAAATTTAATTTTAAAATACTCAGAGAAACAAAGGTAACATCAAATAAGTACATTTTTAGAATGTTCATTTCTTGTGCTATAAAATCCTGCCCCATTTAAATAACAATTCAGTTTTAAAGGGTAGACATTTATTTAATTGCCTTAACTATTACCCTTAAATATCTGTCTTCTTCACTCCATAGACTCTCTCAGTAGGTTCTGAACTTCCTCTAAACTCAATCTTAAAATCAAAATAGAAGGCTCAAACTGAAAGGCAAAGAACAAGTTGGGATGTTTTTGGTTTTTTGTTTGTTTTACGAGATAGGGTTTCTCTGTGTAGCCTTGGCTGTCCTGGAACTCAATCTATAGACCAGGCAGGCCTTGACTTACAGAGATCAACCTGCTTCTGGCTCCTGAGTGCTAGAATCAAAGGCATGTGCCACCATGCTGGGCAGGGTCTTATGTAGTCCAGGCTGGTCCTGAACTTGTTACATATCCAACAATGTCCTTGAATTCCTAACCTTCCCTTCTACCTACCAAATGCTGGGTTTATAAGTGTTCATCACCTGCCGAGCTTCATCTTTTCTGTAATACAAACTAATTCAAATTGATGGTAATAACTATGTAATACATAAAAAGAAACTCATCATTTAACCTTTTTTTTCCATAAACTATGGCACCTGGTGTAAGCAAATCTGGGTAAACATCCTATTGGTTGGTAAAGAATCATATCAACTGATCACCTGTTCAAAACTGACTTTAATTAAACAGATCTATTCTAGAATCCACTAAAAAGCATTGATTAGTATAATAGTTTGGAGGCAAAAGGCAGATAAGGTTTTGGGCCTGAGGCATTTTGGGCCAGAATCATCACTTACTCTGACTACAAACTGGGGGGTAGGGGTGATTATTTGAACAGTGGTCTTGTTTTAAATTCATTACCATTAATCCCAAAGTGGGTTCTAGCAATCCTGTTCTTGCCTACACAATCCCATTTAAAATAACTCTTATATCTCTTCACTCTAAATCTCCACCATCTCTTCCCCTGCCCTTACGTACAGCAGGTAACCATATTACTGATTTCTTTCACATTTACCAATATAACTCCATGGGATCTACATTCTTTCCTAGGTTCCTGTTACTATGGCTGAGCTCTTACAATGTGTGTGTGTGTGTGTGTGTGTGTGTGTGTGTGTGTGTGTGTGTGTTGTCTACAGAAGCACATGAAGAGGCCAGAAAAAGACACAGAGTATACTCTACTGTCCCCCCTCTTATTTTTTTGAGATAGAGTTTCTCACTGAATCTGAAGTTCACTGTTTAGGCTAAACTCGCTAGCCAGTAAGCTCCCAGGATCCACCTGTCTGCTCCACCAACACTAGGGTTACGGGCAGGCCATGCACAGCTTTTACATGAGTGGCTGTATGCTAAGAAGTGTTGAGCAACATGGTGAGACACATGACAATTAATTGTATTAACCTACTTTGTGCATGTTCAGAATATCAAAGAACTCAGGATACAAATTAGTGGAGAACACTGGCCTAGCACGAACAACTCTTTTGTCTCCAGTGCCGGGGAGGGGGTGGACTGGAGCAGGAAGGAATAGGAAAATCTTGAGTCTGACTAACTATGGACTGACTGATCTTTAGACAGGGTCTTACCCTGTAGCCCAAGTTGTCTTGTCACTCACTGTCTAGGCTGGTTGCAGGCCCATGGCGATCCTCCCACTTCAGCCTCCACCATGTCTGGCTCGTGCCTGTAATCCCAGCACTCACGTAAATCCTCCACTTTGAGGAATAACTGGAAAAACAGCAGAGGATATACAAGAGTGATGATGGGAGACTTTCTAAGCATATACTAAAAATAAACAGCCATAAAGAAAACAATAGAATGGAAATATGGAATACCTAGAGAGCTACTGCTGTATTGCAACAAAAATATATAAACAAGAGATCCATGTTAATATAAATGCATCTTCTAAACATACAAGCCAGGCAATGGTGGTGCATGCCTTTAATACCAGCACTTAGAAGGCAGAGACAGGCAGAGTTTGAGGTCAGCCTAGTCTACAGAGTGAGTTCTATATATAACGTAGCCAGGCATGGTAGCACAAACCAAACCTTTAATCCCAGCACCAGGGAGGCAGAGCCAGGTGCATCTCTACGAGTTCAAAGTCAACCTGGTCTACAAAGCAAGCTCCATGACAGCCAGGACTGTTATACAGAGGAAATCCTGTCTCAAAAAAACTTTTTAAAACAGACTGCAAACGGACTAGTGTATAGTACAGCATAGTAGAGTACACTACAGTAGTACACATCTGTAATCCTAGTACTCTGGAGACAAAAGCAGCAGGGCCTCATCTGTTCGAGGCCAGCCTGGGGCTACAGAGCTGGACTCTCTCAGAAAGACCATGAGGGACCAAGGCTACAAATGACTGTTTTAAATACTTCCATGTTTAATTTTTATGATATATGACTAATATGTATTACTTTCATAATGCCAGCTCTTTTTCATTTGGCCATTCAGGCATTTCTTTCACAGTCTTCAGAGAGAATATAATGTTCTAAGAATATAGAACAATATTGCTAATATTTAATATGAAAGTTGAGAACAATGACAGCCGCTGTTGAAGTTTATCAGCTAAGGGCCTGGAGAGATGGCTCAGTGGTTAAGAGTGCATATTGCTCTTTCAGGGGACCCAAGTTTGGGTCCCAGTACCCACATCAGGTGGCTCACCACAGACTAACTCTACTTCCACGGGATCCTCCTGGGCATCCCAGGCCTTCTGGTACATGCATACACACACACACACACACACACACACACACACACACACACACACACACACAAAATGAATCATATATAATATATATATATATATTATATATATAATTTTCAAATACCTTATAGCTTATAATAGTGAAGTACTGGGGAGACAAAGTGATAGCAGTTTTAGGTGTCACATTATACTCCTTGGAAATCAATGAACTAAGCATTCCTGTATTGAACACATAGCCCACCTTCATTTAACCTTCATAAAAATAACCTACATATGCAGTAACTGGTGTATGAGAGTTTTCTAATTTATATGCCATCAATTAGATTCACCACAAGGAGGCCCCAAATAGCATTTCAAAAACCTTCAAAATGCTATCAAGAGGAAGAGGGAATACTCACACAGCAAATCAAGACATAAAAGTAACCATTGATTATAAACTCTCCTCTCATGAACCTTCGGGCATTCTTCTCCATTGTTTCTTCCCTTTAGCCTTGAGTCTTTTCAAGCAAAGAAGTCCTATGTTGCATCTTTGTCCAAATTTTTCCTTCAGCACACTTAAATCTGTCTCCTATTACAATTTTGCTACACTACTCTCAATGTGGAGAACCCTCCAACAGACAGATGAAAGGTCAGTTTTCAATCTTCACCTTATTGAAATTTGAAACTGCTTACCAATCCTTTCCTCAAACATTCTTTACCAATCCTTTCCTCAAACATTCTACTTTCTTAATTCTGTGAGGCCACCAAATTAGAACTGCTTGGAGTTTTTAAACACAGATATGTATTAATTTATTTAATAATCAAAATTACTTGCCAGGCATTATGCTAAGCACTGGAAAACCAACAATAAGGGAGTTTAAGGGGGGTTATTATAATGGGAAAGATAGAGTGATGATCATCAAAGAAAGATAATAAATCATACAGAATTAAAAGCAGGATGTCAACAGAAAAAGCCCAATGAGTATGGAGCTGCCTGTTAACTGCATTTTTCATAGGCTCTTAGGAATATGATTAATTACAAGTTTAATAATGTTCAAAAACAAAGTGAAGTACAGCCTGGACTCATCTCCACTCCCCAAACCAACACAGGGCCCAGAAAGTTGTGCTAGTTGGCTTACCCAAGGGCCAGGCTGGCTGTAGGCTGTCTCCAAGATGTACAGAAAGATTGTAAAACCTTCCCATGTTCTGTGTCCTCACTTAGCATTTTCTCAGTATCTTGAAATCTGACTCTCACTTCCTATCTCTGTTAAGACAATAACAAAGTCCGAATTGCCAAATGAGAACTCACAGTACTGATCTGTGAGACACTCTGTTCCTTAGTTTCAGAACACGGCTCTTTCCCAACCAGTTCTTCCACTCATCTGATCATTCTTTCCCTTTCTGTTCTTTCCTGGGCTGTCTTGTTATTTCACAGGACTGTACAGAACTGCATCCAAGCCTGTTCATTCCATTGCTACACATCCAAGTATGCTTTAGGAGTCTGTACTGAGCTAAGCCTTCCTCAGCTTCAGAACTACTCATATTTGTAGCATTACTACATTTGACAGGATCACAGAAGACTCAAAATCCAAAGCCCGCCTTCTTCCCTTCAGTGCAGAAAAGGCGGTGGTGCACACAGGGGTAACACAAACAATTTTGATACTTCAGAAAAACCTTCCAGATCCAGAAACGTCTGGAATGAATCAAAATGATGTAAAACACATGGCTATTCATATATGATAGTTATTTCACTATGCCTTCATTTATTTGTCTCAACAAATACCCTAAGTGTGGGACTTTCACTCTTTTAAGAATTAGCTAGAAAATGGACTTGATTATTTAAAACTGAGTAACTATAACACAGCCAGTGAGATGGCTCCGGAGATAAAAAGTACTTACTGAGCAAGCCTGATGAAGGCCTGAATTCAACCTCTGGACCTCACAATGGAAAGAAAGAACCAACTTCCAAAAACTGTCCTTTGAACTCCACATGCCATGGCATGCATGTGTCTGCATGCGTACACACACACACACACACACACACACACACACACACACACACACACACACCCCAAATAATACAATTTTCTAAATTATACCAAGGATGATGCTACTAAATAATGTAAGGTATAGAAATGATGAGTATGTGAGTAGGGGTGGACAGTGGTGAGGACTGGTATTTATCATAGCAAGTTTACACACAAATAGTCATGGGTAAATGATGAGTTTCAGTGATTCTAGGCTACATTTCGTACTCAGAGGGTTAAAGCTCATTAAGTTACCAGGTGAAACCAGCAAGTACATATCCATTACCACAGTTAATAATTACACAGTTTCTCAATCTGCAAAAGGCCACCAGTCAGAAAGACTAATACACCACAGTCTTTATCTTTAGCGTGGTCAGTCTGGTGAATGTGTCCAAGATTTATAAAACAGGATGAACTGTATCAGCAGATTCTGTCTTTGTCAATACCACAACTAAAAAAAAGGCTTCTTACAAACTCCATGTGATTAAAAGAAACTACTTTCTCTCCCACATAAATAACCAGAAAATCTCACAATTACAATGTGTCATAGCCATTATGAAGGCTTTTCATGTCTACTCCCCCAAATACTAAGCAATTTTAAGATTACACAATAATATCACTGGACAACAAAGTAGAGAGGGGTCATAACTGAAGAAACACCAGTTTTGGAATAAGGCAGGTATGACTTCAAACCCCTCCTACTCTGAAACTAGCAAGTGCTAAAGCAGGTGACAGCCACACAGGGTCATTCTACTGTCCTATTTCTGCATAGTCTTGTCATTCATAATAACGTTAAGCTTCTTTATCTGTCAGGTGAGAATTGTTTCTTTGTTAATTGAGAATAACATCATACCCACTTCACGGCATTGTGAGATGGCACACAATAATTAATATTAGCCTTCATGGTCTTAAATCTAGGAAACTACATTCATACTTACTTGGTAACATACCAACAAGTTGTATTTCCTTCAAGTTTTTTGTTCTTACACATATTTTTACGCAGTGGCAATGATAAAATTGAAATTTATTTTTAATGCTTTGATACATATATGGCAACCTCTTATGCCAATTTACAATCTCCTGTGGGATATGAGAGTTTGTTGCTAAAACTGTAACTCATGTATCCCAGGCTGGCCCCAAACTTGGCTATGTAGCCAAGGATGACTGAGCTTCTGGCCCTTACTCCTCCACCTACAGAGTGCTAGGATTACAGGCAAATGCCATGCCTAGTTTATGTAGTACTAGACATTGAGTCCAGGGCTTTATGCACACTAGGCAACTACTCTATTAGCTGAGCTACATCGCCAGCCCCAGGACATAGAGTCTTAGCGGCATATGTCCAGGAGTGGTACATGTATCTGGGTCATATGGAAGTTCTAATTTTAGCTTGCTGAGACACCTTGACACTTGTTTCTATGGTGTCTACATGGATTTACACTCCCACTGACAATGTATAAGAGTTCTTCTTTAGCATATCCTCACCAGCATTTGTTTTCTTGATGATAGCCACTGACTGGAGTGAAATGGAGTCCCAAAATAGTTTTCTATTTCCATAATGGCTAAAGACGTTGAACACTTCCTCAAGTATCAGTGGCCATTTGTATTTATTCTTTTGAGAACTGTCTGTTCAATCCGCCTGCCTCTGCCTCCCTAGTGCTGGGATTAAAGGCGTGCACCACCACCACCTGGCTCATTCATTAATTCTTAAAGCTACCCGCCCCCCATGCTGTTGCTGGAGTTCCAGTCAGTATTCCCGCCTGTACCTGTGTCTGGAAGTGTTTTCCCAATGTTTCAACAGTTTCAGCATTTCAGGTTTCAAGTCTGAATTGATGCTTGAGTGGGGTGAAGAGATACGGATCTTTTTTAAACATATATTTATTTATTTATCACATGTGTTGAGTTGTACACATGACATGGCACATGTGTGGAGGTCAGAGGACAACTTTTGAGAGTTGATTCTCTCCTTCCACCATGTGAGCTCCAGGGATCAAACTTAGGGCTTAAAGCTTGGCAAA